AAAGGAAGGGGTAGCAGTAATGTTAAATGATCAGTTATGGAAGGAGAAAAGAGAATATGAATGTGTAAATTCAAGAATTATGTGGATTAAAGTAAAGGTTGGATGCGAGAAGTGGGTCATAATAAGCGTGTATGCACCTGGAGAAGAGAGGAATGCAGAGGAGAGAGAGAGATTTTGGGAGATGTTAAGTGAATGTATAGGAGCCTTTGAACCAAGTGAGAGAGTAATTGTGGTAGGGGACTTGAATGCTAAAGTAGGAGAAACTTTTAGAGAGGGTGTGGTAGGTAAGTTTGGGGTGCCAGGTGTAAATGATAATGGGAGCCCTTTGATTGAACTTTGTATAGAAAGGGGTTTAGTTATAGGTAATACATATTTTAAGAAAAAGAGGATAAATAAGTATACACGATATGATGTAGGGCGAAATGACAGTAGTTTGTTGGATTATGTATTGGTAGATAAAAGACTGTTGAGTAGACTTCAGGATGTACATGTTTATAGAGGGGCCACAGATATATCAGATCACTTTCTAGTTGTAGCTACACTGAGAGTAAAAGGTAGATGGGATACAAGGAGAATAGAAGCATCAGGGAAGAGAGAGGTGAAGGTTTATAAACTAAAAGAGGAGGCAGTTAGGGTAAGATATAAACAGCTATTGGAGGATAGATGGGCTAATGAGAGCATAGGCAATGGGGTCGAAGAGGTATGGGGTAGGTTTAAAAATGTAGTGTTAGAGTGTTCAGCAGAAGTTTGTGGTTACAGGAAAGTGGGTGCAGGAGGGAAGAGGAGCGATTGGTGGAATGATGATGTAAAGAGAGTAGTAAGGGAGAAAAAGTTAGCATATGAGAAGTTTTTACAAAGTAGAAGTGATGCAAGGAGGGAAGAGTATATGGAGAAAAAGAGAGAAGTTAAGAGAGTGGTGAAGCAATGTAAAAAGAGAGCAAATGAGAGAGTGGGTGAGATGTTATCAACAAATTTTGTTGAAAATAAGAAAAAGTTTTGGAGTGAGATTAACAAGTTAAGAAAGCCTAGAGAACAAATGGATTTGTCAGTTAAAAATAGGAGAGGAGAGTTATTAAATGGAGAGTTAGAGGTATTGGGAAGATGGAAGGAATATTTTGAGGAATTGTTAAATGTTGATGAAGATAGGGAAGCTGTGATTTCGTGTATAGGGCAAGGAGGAATAACATCTTGTAGGAGTGAGGAAGAGCCAGTTGTGAGTGTGGGGGAAGTTCGTGAGGCAGTAGGTAAAATGAAAGGGGGTAAGGCAGCCGGGATTGATGGGATAAAGATAGAAATGTTAAAAGAGGTGGGGATATAGTTTTGGAGTGGTTGGTGCAATTATTTAATAAATGTATGGAAGAGGGTAAGGTACCTAGGGATTGGCAGAGAGCATGCATAGTTCCTTTGTATAAAGGCAAAGGGGATAAAAGAGAGTGCAAAAATTATAGGGGGATAAGTCTGTTGAGTGTACCTGGTAAAGTGTATGGTAGAGTTATAATTGAAAGAATTAAGAGTAAGACGGAGAATAGGATAGCAGATGAACAAGGAGGCTTTAGGAAAGGTAGGGGGTGTGTGGACCAGGTGTTTACAGTGAAACATATAAGTGAACAGTATTTAGATAAGGCTAAAGAGGTCTTTGTGGCATTTATGGATTTGGAAAAGGCGTATGACAGGGTGGATAGGGGGGCAATGTGGCAGATGTTGCAAGTGTATGGTGTAGGAGGTAGGTTACTGAAAGCAGTGAAGAGTTTTTACGAGGATAGTGAGGCTCAAGTTAGAGTATGTAGGAAAGAGGGAAATTTTTTCCCAGTAAAAGTAGGCCTTAGACAAGGATGTGTGATGTCACCGTGGTTGTTTAATATATTTATAGATGGGGTTGTAAGAGAAGTAAATGCGAGGGTCTTGGCAAGAGGCGTGGAGTTAAAAGATAAAGAATCACACACAAAGTGGGAGTTGTCACAGCTGCTCTTTGCTGATGACACTGTGCTCTTGGGAGATTCTGAAGAGAAGTTGCAGAGATTGGTGGATGAATTTGGTAGGGTGTGCAAAAGAAGAAAATTAAAGGTGAATACAGGAAAGAGTAAGGTTATGAGGATAACAAAAAGATTAGGTGATGAAAGATTGAATATCAGATTGGAGGGAGAGAGTATGGAGGAGGTGAACGTATTCAGATATTTGGGAGTGGACGTATCAGCGGATGGGTCTATGAAAGATGAGGTGAATCATAGAATTGATGAGGGAAAAAGAGTGAGTGGTGCACTTAGGAGTCTGTGGAGACAAAGAACTTTGTCCTTGGAGGCAAAGAGGGGAATGTATGAGAGTATAGTTTTACCAACGCTCTTATATGGGTGTGAAGCGTGGGTGATGAATGTTGCAGCGAGGAGAAGGCTGGAGGCAGTGGAGATGTCATGTCTGAGGGCAATGTGTGGTGTGAATATAATGCAGAGAATTCGTAGTTTGGAAGTTAGGAGGAGGTGCGGGATTACCAAAACTGTTGTCCAGAGGGCTGAGGAAGGGTTGTTGAGGTGGTTCGGACATGTAGAGAGAATGGAGCGAAACAGAATGACTTCAAGAGTGTATCAGTCTGTAGTGGAAGGAAGGCGGGGTAGGGGTCGGCCTAGGAAGGGTTGGAGGGAGGGGGTAAAGGAGGTTTTGTGTGCGAGGGGCTTGGACTTCCAGCAGGCATGCGTGAGCGTGTTTGATAGGAGTGAATGGAGACAAATGGTTTTTAATACTTGACGTGCTGTTGGAGTGTGAGCAAAGTAACATTTATGAAGGGATTCAGGGAAACCGGCAGGCCGGACTTGAGTCCTGGAGATGGGAAGTACAGTGCCTGCACTCTGAAGGAGGGGTGTTAATGTTGCAGTTTAAAAACTGTAGTGTAAAGCACCCTTCTGGCAAGACAGTGATGGAGTGAATGATGGTGAAAGTTTTTCTTTTTCGGGCCACCCTGCCTTGGTGGGAATCGGCCGGTGTGATAATAAAAAAAAAAAAAAAAAACATTGGGCATTGTTGAAAGTAGTTTACAGTATGAGAATGCTTCAATTTGGTGTAAGGCAGTATTGTTTTGGGCAGGTATTTATACTACAATGTAGTATTAAGTAATGTAGAACTTTGGGTATCTAATTTTGAAGTGTTTAGATTTAGGTAATTGGGAGATTTTTCGGTACAGTTAAGTATTGAGTATTTAGTTTACGGTAAGTAGGTGGTTTTTGAGAAGAGTCTTAAATTGATGTTCAGACTGGGTTACTTTAGTATTTACTAGTAATGCATTCCAAATTTTGGGGCCTTTTATGTGCATCGAGTTCTTACACACTGTGATATGGACAAAGGGTACAGTAGGGCCCAGCTTTATGGTGTTTCGCTTTACGGCATTCTGCTAATACATGTACAGACATTTCAAATTATGACCAAAACTTGCTATACAGCTCCCCCCCACTTGACTTTCTAATACGGTCATCGCCCCCCACCCAACTTGTTTACATTCTCTGTGAGCTCCGTAAGCACCACGTCTCTCCATTATGCTTGGAAACTCCAAAATTTCAAGTGTTTTTAAAAGTTATTTCATATTTTATATATACGTACTCTGATAATTATACTTATGTATACCTGTACCTAAATAAACTTACACACTGTGCTGGCATGCAGGTACACATTAAAATCAGTAAGAGTGTCTTATGTCTCGAGACGCCATATTAGTAATGATAATGATAATAATCACAAAGTCTCATTAAATGTCGTATATTACGTTAATATACACATTTTCATTAATCCATCTAGGATATTTTTTCAAAATTATATAATAAACACGATACATAACATATAAAGATGATAAATACACCCCACAGTAGAATAAATAAACATAAATATGAGATGTGGTAGCCAGACAACTTGTACAAGTGAAGGCAGGAATAACGTTTTCTCTAGTCCAACATAAGAGAAAATGTGTTACTGGGGATAACTGCAGTTATTTCTTCTAAAAAATGGTGTTACATGAGAATGGGAGTGTTCCTCTTTATTTATTCTACCGTATCAACATAGAGGCAACTTGTACACAATGTAACTTGTACACAAACCAGACATGTTTGCTTGGTTTGTTTACAAAACTGGCATTCGCTTGGTTTGTTTACATAACTCCGCGAGTGTCCTTTCTCATGTATTCATTCTCTCTCTCATTTACTCATTTTATCTCATTTACTCACCTCTGACCCTACATTAAGACTAAAAATATTTTAAGGTAAGCAATGAGTGAACTGTATATGCATTTCATCGCTCTGGGACACTTAAATGTCATAGAATATTGTGTGTGGGTGGGTTGGCCTGGTATGGTAGCCTGGCTGGCTACCATAAATATCACACTTGATTTCTTACAATAAATACTACTCATCTCACCCTAGATTAAGACTACAAATATTTTAAGGTAAGTAATTAGTGTACTATATGTGTATTTTACTTTTTTATTGTTTTTTAATGCCTAGTTCTACTGCTAACTTAATATATGTTAGTGTAAACTTGTTATCTAGTATTTATATGCATTTATAAGTGGAAAAAAAAGGTGATCCACTTTATGGCGGTAGCCTGGAATCTAACCTGCCGTATAAGTGAGGTCCTACTGTACATCAAAAAGTGATGTGTCTTATCGTTATGGTCGTGTGTCCTGTTAAGGTTAGTGAGAAGTTTGAGTGGAGGGTTTATGTTTGAGTGTAATGTATGTAGTAGGCACAAGAATAGGTATGGATGTTCTTTATGGCGAGTAGTTTTAGACTTTTGAATATTGGTGGAGTATGCTGTCTGGAGTGGGAATTTATTTTCATTCTGACTGCAGCCTTTTGCTGGGTTATTAGTGGTCTTAGGTGATTTAATTCTGTTGATCCCAATGCACTGCTAAAATTAAACCTATTTTACAAAACAATCTTGTTAATAACTAAATTCAAATAGCTTTTTTATTGGACAGTATTATACCTTGAAATAAATGGAAAGATTTCTTAAATAAACCACTGTGACTATCAGTATATTTATTGTAAGAGCATACTTTAATTTTTTTTTTTAACATGCCGGTCATTTCTTACCAAGGGAGGGTGACCCAAAAAGAAAGAAAAAAACCTAAAAAGAAGAAAAAATTTTTATCATTCAACACTTTCACCACCACTTATACATAATCACTATCTTTGCAGAGGCACTCAGATACTGCCAATACCCCAAATATTCCAAATACTGTATAGTATATATGAAAATGTTTAATTCAAGATGTATATACATATCACATTCTGGTATTACATTATATTTATTTATGTCTTTGCAAACAGTACATTGAGATTTTGTATTTACAATAGTGGGTTGCAATGCAGAGAGAGCCTCTATTATGCCTAGGCATTATGGGCCAACTTAACATTATTGACTTACAGACTACTTAACACTAAGGATTGTATCATAGTTGTATAGTAGGATAGTAATTATTTCATAGTTGTACACTAGATTATTAATTATAAATGAATCAAAATTTGTACTGTATAAGACAAAAGATATATTCATATATTTGAAAATGCTTTTTGTGAAAACAATGATTCAATTATATTCCTGTCAACAATGGATAAAAGGCTCAAAGTAATTGTTGAAGTTATGATGTGGGAGTACATAAGTGAGTATGCGTGTACTGAGTATTTAGCATTTAGTCTAGGGTGATTAAGTGGCTTTTGAGAAGAGTCTAAAATTGATTTTCAGACTGGGTTACTTTAATATCTTCTGGTAATGAATTCCATATTTTGGGGCCCTTTATGTGCATAGAGTTTTTACACAGTGTGATATGGACACAAGGTATATCAAAAAGAGATCTGTGTCTTGTGTTGTGGTCATGTGTCCTGTTTAGGTTGGTGAGGAGAAGTTTGAGTGGAGGGTTTATATTTGCATGTATTGTTCTGTGTATGTAGTAGGCACATGAATAAGTATGGATGTTCTTAATGGTGAGCAGATTCAGACTTTTGAAAATTGGTGGAGTATGCTGGCAAGAGTGGGAATTTGTTATCATTCTTACTGCTGCCTTTTGCTAGGTTATTAGGGGTTTTAGGTGATTGGATGTTGTTGATTCCCATGCACAAATTCCATATGTAAGATAAGGGTATATGAGTGAATGGTACAGTGCCAGGAGAGCTAAATGTAACAAAATACAGTGCGAACAAATAAACCTTCATCTTAAGCAGAGGTGGATTATGGCATAACAAATCTACCAGCAAATAAAGCTAATCCTGTTCTTCGGTCTCTAATAAAGAACAGGAATGGATGGTCAGCAACAAACTCAGGATTCAGCTGAGCACACATTATCCCCCACATACCTATAAGGAGATAAAAATGCATTTACAATTACGTATTAGATTCTTGGGGAAGTTCATTCAGATTCGATCCAGGAAAGGGGAGCATAGGTCAAATTCTCTAGATCATGAGCCCCTCATTAGCATGAAGGAGCTATATGCAATTCTCATGGCTGTTATACATACTGCATCCCTGCCTACCTCAACATTTATAATAGTTTGACTCCTTTAGTGCTTTACTGGCTATCCAAAAATTTGATTCTCCTCGTTTTCCATATACAACTTTGGCTGCACCACACTTTTGGTGAAAATGAAGACATCATTTTCTGTTGGGTCTCTGGACATGTGGATGTTCAGGGCAACAAGCAGACAGACTCTACTGTGCAGTCAGTCTTCAATGACCTCATTTCATATACAGTGGAACCCCAAGTTTCGACCGTAATCCGTTCCAGGAGCTAGGCCTAAACTCGAAACGGCCAAAAAGTGAAGCAATATTTCCCATAAGAAGTAATGTAAATACAATTAATCCGTTCCAGACCCACAAAAAATATTCACAAAAAATACATTTTTTAAAGAAAAACTATAGTTTAACATACATATAGTACTTAAAACCTACATATAGTATTAAATGAGTAATACAATACATAAATAAACATTTAACCCTTTCAGGGTTTCGGACGTACTAGTACGGCTTACGCACCAGGGTTTTTGACATACTAGTACGCCTAAATTCTAGCGTCCTCAAATCTAGTGAAAGCTGGTAGGCCTACATATGAAAGAATGGGCCTATATGGTCAGTGTGCGCAATATAAAAAAAAAATCCTGCAGCACACAGTGCGTAATGAGAAAAAAAAACTTTGACCGTGTTTTTGGATTAAAACGACGATTTTGCACTGTATTTTTGTATGGTATTTATTGTTGTATTCTAGTTTTCCTGGTCTCATTTTATAGAATGGAAGACATATTACAGAAATTGAGATGATTTTGACTGGTTTTACAATGAAAAGTACTTTGAAATTGAGCTCAAAGTTGCAGAAATCTTTGATTTTTACCAAAGTTCAAAAGTAAACAAATCATGCTAAGCGTCCAATACACGTCAACTGGTGAGTCTAATATTCTTTCACAAGTGCGCCGATATTATTTATACCATTTCTATACTAATGCAGTAGTCTGCATAACAGTAAATCTTCTATTTTTTTGAGAATAAAAATTCAAAGTGGAAAGTAAAAGAATGTAAGAGAGACATGGGGAAGTGACTAATGAACAGAGAAAATGTTATTTTAGTGCCAGGAATGTCTTTCTTGTTTATTCTGGACCCTATTTGGAAATTGGCATCTTTTGAAATTTGTGGGAAATTGGCAAAATTGCTAAATTCTGACCACTGTATTGGATAGTTGAAATTGGTAAATGGGTGGTTTCTTGTACTCATTCGATAGAAAAAATGGAGTTCTAGCAAAATAGTTATGATTTCTGTCGACTAGTACACTGGAATTGGCCAAAAATAGGGTTCAAAGTGGGCAAAATCGCCAATGCGAAAGCATCGTCGAGACCGCTAACTTCACTAGAGCATAATTCCGTAAGTTTTCCATCAAATTTCATACTTTTGGTGTCATTATGATCGGGAAAAGATTCTCTATCTTTTCACAAGAAAAAATAATTTTTTTTTTTTTTTAGAATTTGGGGGACCCTGAGAACAAGTCTCTGAGAGGGCCTGTGGACCCTGAAAGGGTTAAATAAACATTTAAAATTAGCTTTTACATACCTTTACTGAAGACTCTTGTTGGCATCTGGAAGGTAGGGAGGACTTATTATTGCCTCCACCACTGCCTCCACCACTGCCTCCACCACTGCCTCCACCACTGCCTCAACCGCTGCCTCAACCACTGCCTCAACCACTGCCTCAACCACTGCCTCACTGCCACTATGAAGTTTCTTTGGGCCCATGGTGGCTTATTTCACAGTCACAATCAATAAACAAGCACTAAACACAATGAATTTATTGTGAAATGTTCAGATAAGCATGCAGGGTAATGTTCACTCAAGGAATAAACAAAGCTAGACTGGCTTACGATGCCTCCCGGCAGGCGTGGGGAGGCGGACAGGTCTGGCATGCCGGCTGAAACCCAGGATAATGGTCGAAACACGGGACAAAATCTAGCCAAAAAAATACGGTTGAAACCCAAAGTGGCCGATTCTCAGGGCAGCAGAAACCCGGGGTTTCACTGTACAGTGGACCCTCAGATACTGGCCATTCTGGATATCAGGCAAATTTAATTTCGGCCGCTTTTTTGGCCGAAATTCTATCCTGGACTTCGGCAGGCAACTCGAAAATCAGCCGTATTGGATGCATAATAATAATCACTCTTGGGCACATTAAATGTATTAATTTAGGTTAATATAGACATTTTCATTAATCCACCTACGATATTTTCTTCAAAATTGAAACCCCAGGTTTCAGCCTCCCTGAGAATCGTCCACTTCGGGTTTCGACCGCTTTTTTCGGCCAAATTTTGTCCCGCATTTCAGCCATTGCCCCGGGTTTCGGCCGGCATACCATGACGCCTGCGCGGGGCAGGTGTCCACTTGCCCGCGCAGGCGTCACGAGCCAGTCTAGCTTTGTTTATTCTTGAATGAACATTACCCTGTGTGCTCATCCAAACATTTCACAATAAATTCATTGTGTTTAGTGCTTGCTTATTGAATGTGACTATGAAATAACTGAAGAAAGAAATTGTAGCAGAGTACCAAAGTGGAGGAGGAAGAGAGAGGGGAGAATGTGCCTTCTTCAGTGATTCTACAATATGTATGATACTAAAGCAATACAAGTCGATAAAGGCTGCAGCGTCAGCCAGAGATAAAGTGTAGCATTAACAGTGTAGCAAGTAAAGCGATTAATCAATAGGAAAAGGATGGCACGAAACTGACTCCTTCAATGTTGTTGTAGTTATACAGGGCGACTGGCAAGAGCGCCTTCTCTGCTGCCGCCATCACCACCACCATGAAAGGCTTATGTTTCAGTAGCCCTTATACACCCAACAACAAATAACACAGCAACACTCGTCGGTTACGGAGAGATCCATATGACATATTTTATTCGTTCTAGAGCATATATCATGTTTCTATGTTATTAATATTGTTTATTATGCCATATTAGATGAATTTAGCTAGACAAATAAGCTGTAGAGTTGATATTAGTGTCATATTGAAGGACTATCTTGTCCTGCCTCCACACAAACTCTCCTGCCTCTCTCATATGCCAACAAGAGTCTTCAGTAAAGGTAAAACTGATTTAAATGTTCATTTATCCATTAAAATTAGTGCTTTATATTTATTTATCATTTTTTTGTATGTAAAACTATAGTATTTCTTTAAAAAAAAATGAATATTTTTGGGTGGATTGAATTAATTAGTTTTACATTATTTCTTATGGGAAATATTGTTTCGACTTTAGATCGTTTCAACTTTAGGCCTAGCTCCTGGAACGGAATATGGCCGAAACTTGGGGTTCCACTGTATAAGAAACACGTTACATCATATATATATAAGAACATGCAATATTTATATGCGATGCATATTTAATAATAATTATTCTTGGGCACACTAAATGTCTTATTTTAGGTTAATATAGACATTTTCATTAATCCACATAGTATATTTTCCTCAAAATTATATAAGAAACACGTAACATAGCATATAAACATAACATATAAACATGCAATGTTTATATGCTATTGAGTGGTGAGTGCCGGCGAATCGAGGAGGAGGAGGAGGAGGAGGGGGGTGGTGGTGGAAGGTAAAATTACGTTTTCTCTGATTCAGCGTTAGAGAAAACTGTGAATTTGGTGTCTGGCCAGTCACCGCCCTTCATACGAATTTGTTTACAATTCTCGGCATGAATTATTCATTACTTCTCCATCTATTGATGGTGGCATCTAAAGGTAGTTGTTAGAAACAATTAAACTCAGTGAACATGGTATGTCGATGTAATAATATGGCTGTGTAGTGAAGCCCAGGGGGGCAACATAGTGCACCTACATCTACCGCTTGCTACACTGACTTCCTACAAATAAATACTACTCACCTCTCGCCCTACATTAAAACTACAAATATTTTAAGGTAAGTAATGAATGTACTGTGGCAGTAAATGACAAAGAAGGGAAGTAACCCTAGAGAGGGTTTTGATACCTGAAGTCCTTATGGAGGGGGATTCCTAACTCCCTCTCCCTTCCTCGCCTTCTTCAATATGCCAACAAGAGTCTTCAATAAAGGTATGTAATGTTCATTCATCATTAAAATTTGTGCTTTATGTTTCTTTCTCATTGTTTTGTGTATGTAAAACTATTGGTAGTCTTTAAAAAATGTATTTTTTGTTAATATTTTTGGGTGTTCTAGGTAGTAGGTTGGTAGACAGCAACCGCCCAGGGAGGTACTACCGTCCTGCCAAGTGAGTGTAAAACGGAAGCCTGTAATTGTTTTACATGATGGTAGGATTGCTGGTGTCCATTTTTCTGTCTCATAAACATGCAAGGTTTCAGGTACGTCTTGCTACTTCTACTTACACTTAGGTCACACTACACATACATTATTTTTTTTTATTAACACACTGGCCGATTCCCACCAAGGCAGGGTGGCCCGAAAAAGAAAAACTTTCACCATCATTCACTCCATCACTGTCTTGCCAGAAGGGTGCTTTACACTACAGTTTTTAAACTGCAACATTAACACCCCTCCTTCAGAGTGCAGACACTGTACTTCCCATCTCCAGGACTCAAGTCCGGCCTGCTGGTTTCCCTGAACCCCTTCATAAATGTTACTTTGCTCACACTCCAACAGTACGTCAAGTATTAAAAACCATTTGTCTCCATTCACTCCTATCAAACACACTCACGCATGCCTGCTGGAAGTCCAAGCCCCTCGCACACAAAACCTCCTTTACCCCCTCCCTCCAACCTTTCCTAGGCCGACCCCTACCCCGCCTTCCTTCCACTACAGACTGATACACTTTTGAAGTCACTCTGTTTCGC